ACACAGAGTTGAGTGACCCCCGCAACTAATAATTGAATTGATGGACCAAAGTGTAACTATGGGTATAGTTGAGGGACCATTGCTGCGAATAACCCAAAAAAAATTACAAAAGTCACAGAGTATAGCCGCTCGGCTGTACGATTTACCACAAAGAAAAAGGGCCGCCTAGCGCCCGGCTAGCGATTTGTGCCAATGTGTCAAAACTAGTATAGCCGCGCGGCTATACTATTTATTTAAAAAACCTATTTTAATACTGAAAATAATAATAATACGAGACTAAAAGCTAGCTCGTTATTATTATTATTTTTTTAATATATGTATATGACAATGCGCGTCCAGTTTTACACGTCATGAATAATATTACTATTACTAGTTCAATAAAATAAAATTAAAATTTTGGTAACTACACAAGTATCATGAATTTCACACTAGGAGATATGACTAAATATTTCTTTTAATTAATCATAAAAAAATGTTACAAGATGTAGCAGCATGTATAAGGTGACCTCATTAAAACTAAGTTTTTTGAGGAGTTTAGCACTGTTATTATAATGTAACACTGTTACACTGAAATTTTGATAATAATTAGGCAAAGTAGATCTACTAATTGGTTCTGTTTGACCCAATAATTAGAATATAAGGCCAAAGAATTGCCAATCATTACGTGTAGATGTAGGGTTACATGTTCTCTCGTCAACATTCAAACGTGTTATACTTCGAATTATTGATCCAAACAATTGGACCTGTTGATTTTTAGCTAAACGTATCATCTTAATTGAGAATTTGAGAGCATAATAGACTAAATTCTTTGGAATCATTCCACATGTGTTGAAACTCTTGGGTGCTAAACACGGTCCAATCCACTTGAGGACGAGAAATTGGTGCAAATAGACTCATCCCTGTATTCGATGTTATGTGTTTAATTTTTTTACGGTAATAATATTTATGTATAACCGCATTTAAAGGGGTGAATGGTGAATTTTTATCTACCCCTAGACCTCCATCATAGACAATATGAGCATTTCCACTGTTTCCCCAACCTCGGGCAAGAGGCTCTCTAGGCCCTCAATCCCGTTCCCAGCGTCCAAAGGCAACACTTGCATGGGTTGTTGCGGCAAGCTGACCTAATGCTGATGTCATTGTGATGTCAGCATTTAATTTAAGGGAGTTTCACTAAAATACCTAAAATGGGGGCTGAAATTATAAAAATACCCAACACCCAAAACACTTTATAAACATACCCAAAACTCATCATTACACACACTCAAAACCCATAAAACCCATTTATAAACATACCCAAAATCCATCATTACACACATACCCAAAACCCATTTTGGGTATGTTTCTATGTTTAAATAGTGCTTGGGTATTTTTATAAATACATGTCTAGGATTGGGTATTTTTATAAATATCTATTAATTTAAATAACAAAAAACAAAAAAACAAAAATTCAGAATTTTTTTTTATAAACACCTAACCATATTCTTCACTTCCCACACCAAAACTGTATATAAATTCATCTCCTCATATGAATTGTAACAATCCTTCCCTCCCCTTATCTTTTGCCACGGCAAATGAGTGGAAATGCTTTAGCAACCCACAATGAGATTTTAACAAGAGTCAAATTCATTTGAACACCCTGAAGTTCAGCTTAATTGCGGCAACATCCCTTTACATTCTTATGGTGACATAAAACACGTTTTTATTGAAGAAGTTTTGTAATTTATTTATCCTCGAATACATCGTTCTTTCACGCGGAAAATAAAGTGTGTAAATAATTGAACCTGTGGAGTGGGTGCTGCAATTAAGCCACACCTCAGGGGTACAAATCACCCTATAAAGTTCAAAGTAACCAATTCTGGCGTTGACTCGCCTACTGATCATTTGAAGTCAAACCCACCTTCCACGAAAGTCCCTCTTCCTTCCTTCCTTCCATGGCAGCATACTTCTTGCTGCCTTCTTCACAACACCAGCATATATCTCTCTCATTCAACCCCCTCCACCACGTTTAATTTCTCACCAAACCCCCCACCCCGGCCTTTTTACCACTTGCACCCCCAACCCCACAAACTAATTAACCCTCTCCCTCTCTCTCTCTCCTCCAATTTCAATGCCCATGGAGAAAACCTTCCAAGCCGTTCTTGCGGCTACAGGCAGCTTCTTCGCCATAACCGTAGTATTCGCCTGCGTCTACATCTGCTGGAAGGGCTCCAAACCCAAATCGACCCGCCCCCGCCACACCCGACTCGTCCGCAACCCTCCCGCCACCGACCTCACATCCGTCGCCGTCGACGAAAGCGCGTCCTTCGATCCCTCGCTCAAGGTCTCCATGGAAGAAGTCGTCAAGGCCACCAAGAATTTCTCCGCCGATCTAGTCGTAGGCGACGGCGGCTTCGGCTTCGTCTACAAGGCCCAGTTCTCGGACGGCCGCACCGTCGCCGTCAAGAAGCTAGATCCCGACGCCTTCCAAGGGTTTCGCGAATTTCAGGCGGAGATGGAAACCCTAGGTAAGCTCCGGCACCCAAATATCGTTAAGATTTTGGGATATTGTGTCTCCGGCGCCGATAGGATATTGATTTATGAGTTTATTGAGCGGGGCAATCTGGACCGTTGGCTTAACGACTCGTCGTCATCCGACGGTGATGGGTATGATGACGGGACCGGGTTTAGATTACCGTTATCTTGGAAAACGAGGATTAAGATCGTTAGGGGTGTGGCTAATGGGCTGGATTATTTGCATCGGTTGGACAAGCCCATTATTCATAGGGATATCAAGGCTAGTAATGTGTTGTTAGACTCGGAGTTTGAAGCCCATATTGCTGATTTCGGACTGGCTCGGAGGATGGACGCCTCCTGTTCGCATGTCTCGACGCAGTTTGCAGGTACCATGGGGTACATGCCGCCGGAGTACAAGGAAGGGTTCACGGGGGCAACCGTGAGAGCCGATGTGTTTAGCTTCGGGGTTTTGATGTTGGAGGTTGCGACAGGAAAACGGCCCAATTTGCCCACCGCGTTCGACGGCAAAGAAATGGGCTTGGTGGAATGGGCTAGGAAAATGGAGGCCCAAAACCGCCAAATGGAAATGGTTGACCCTGGTATTTCGAAGGACGACTTGGATGAAGCCAATGTGAAAGAGTATTTTAGGATTGCTTGTCATTGTGCTGGTGAGATTTCAAGAGAAAGGCCCCGAATGAGAGAGGTGATTGAAATGTTAGATCAAATTTCGAACTGACAATATATAAATCTATCTATTTTCTGCGTTGGTGAGCAATGTTGTTTGTTTATAGTGTTAGTAGGGATATGAATAATATTGTTGAAAGGGATGTAAATAGGAAATTGAGCCAATTAGACAAGGGAAAATTATAGAAGTAGGAGGATTAGAGGTAGTTTTTATTTTGGCCCTTGTTGCATTATTACTTTTCACCAAGTGAGCTTTGTAAATGGTAAAAAGAAGATCCCTAACTAAAGAATGAGAGGATCTTTTTTAAACCATGTATGGAACTTTCTGTGATGATTATTTAAATAGAACATGATTTTCATGCTTTTGGTTTTATTACGTTTGCTATGATGGCTGCCAACTCATTGATCTGATGAGACAGGGGAACCAAGATTTCTATTAATTATTAATTGGTTAAGATTCGTTACATTATGAAAGGCATGATTGGGGTCGCACAAATTAGTATGCCCAACGTGGGTGCTTCGAATTCTACTATTTGATTGCTAAAATATCTTCTACTTACATACTAAGATCAAAGGTATGAGTAAATTTCATAAATGAACATATCAAGATACACCTAGTCAGAGGAAGGAAACGTAATGAGTCTTGCCCCTCAAATGTAAAACCTTGACAAAAAAACAAAATAAAAAAACCACAAGTAAATGCACAAATCATTCCTTTTTAGCTGGGATTTTGGTTTGAGAAGAAATCTGAGAGAACGAGATGAAGGAGATGACAAACTTGCTAAGCTGCTGGAGGAGGTGAGATTATTCCCATATAGGGAGGATGCAAGAAGATGGTGTGTAGAGACTTGAGGCCAATTTCTTATACATATTTTTTTAATCGGTTGAGACGCGTATCAGGTAGTCCTCTTTTTCTTCCTTTCAGCATTATTTGGAAATCAAGAGGTTCCACTCAAAATTAAGGTTTGGCTTGATCGGGGGTACACGGGAAGGTAAAATCCTGCAATTTACTCTAAAGATGTATGACAAGTCCTTGTCATGCTAACTCCACCCATTTCCCATGGCAAAGGTTAAGGGGAGGCAAGGGCTATTACGATTCACGTGAATAGTGTCAGCCCTTGCAAAAGGCTAGCAGTTCCATCGATTGCTCGGGGCTGGGGCAAGGGGGAGCCCAAGAGGAAAATCCCGTTTCCAGCAGGACTTTTTTGCCCGGGCTGGGTGTGGGCTCCACAAGCCTGGCTAGCCCTCATTCAAAACCAGCCCTTACAATAGCCTAGGTTTGCTGACGTTAGCGATAACGTCAACAACCAAAAAAGATTTAAAAAAATACTACAAATTTCAGAATTTTTTTTAAAATAAATACTTAGTCATATTTTTCACTTCCCACACCAACACTCTATACAAATTCCTCTCCTCATATCTCATGTGAATAGTGGTTGTCATGACAATGAGTGGAAACACCTTAGGGGGATGGAAGTGGAGGAAGTGCATGGGAGAAGGTCAAGTATTAGGTAGTGCTTTGGGCATCTGTTTCTCCAAATTTTAGGAACCCTTCTTTCTAGACTAGAAGGATGTAGCTTCATGAGTATGTTTTAGTTTGTTAAACTAGAAGTAGCTTGAATTAATATTTTTCTATCCTAAATTCATGTTGGATTGCTTGTCCGCTTTATTGTCCAGTTTCTCTTGTGAAATAAAACTTCATCTTTTCGTTTCAAAAAAAGAAAAAAAGGAAGGAGCATGAGCCTAACAAAAATGACCATAGTGTCGCTTGAACTTGCCTAGAGAAGAGGGAGAGGGGGCAGAAATCATGCAAATAAGACTTGAGAGGATCAATTGTAAGATAATTCGAAGGAAAAGAAGGGAAGTCTAGGAAAGAAAGTAAGTCCAAACTTGAGAAAAAGAAAAAAGAAAAAACAAAGCAAGACAAGGCTTTCCAATGCACAGTGGGGGTTGAAGCATATTTACATGGAATCAATTGTTTTATGTCTTTATGGACCTGACTAAATCTAGTATACGATAGTAGTGATAAAAGAGCGAAGATTCTTTACCCTCGAGTCCATCTCGATGAAGCCTGTTGCTGCCTGTAAGATTGTTGCATGGACTCCCACCAACTACAAGATCAAAACCACCAAATAAAGTCATATAATGCTCCAGTCTGTCACCGTTCAGCTGCTGTACATCATCAAGGTCATACAAATTCCCTCTCTGGTTGGTCTGCTCCCACCAACTCCTCACAACATTTCTATTCACTGCAGAGATCTCTACCGACACGACATTCTTTAGACGAATACCAAGCCGGTGAAGAGCTATTTCTGCCCCACCAATCCCAGAGAAAAGAGAGAGGAGGTTGATGCCATTGGGAAACATCTCTTTTAATACTGACAGATGGTATGCCACTGTATCAATCTGGCATGAGTTGAACTTATAAGAAAAATGCAGATACTATCTGACAAACAGAAAATTCTAACTTGAAACTATACTAAGGAAACTCTGTTAGAAAACAGCATTGAAACTATTTCATGCTTCTGCACACAAAAAACTAAAGGAAAAGACATAGGGTTTAGGGTTTTGAGATTTTCAGGATTTACCAGTAGATATGAACTGCAGCATATATTAAAAAGGAATATAAAAGATATCTAAATTCCAATGAAACACACACAGAATTCACTACCTGGAATGAATTCCCGAGTGATTTGTATCTGTCAGTCCTGCTTATTCCCCTTGTGTGGTTCTTTGGATAGCCCAAAAGCATTTCCACTTCATCAGGCTCAAGTGGGGCAACCTTATTTCTTCCTACCCACACCAGATTCCACTTCCGGCATTCATCAAGAACATATTTTTGGACTCTCAGTGGTGGTTCACCATCATAATCCTCAAGAGCCTTCCTGATCCTTTCTGTTGATTTTGCACTGGCAATGGAGGTTAGCAAGCAGTTCAACTTTGTCCGCGTATCCCAAGAAGGCCACCATTTCCTTATCAAGGGAAATGCCTCATGTATGGTGTGTGGGGGAAGCGGAATAAGAGGAAATCTGTTTTCAATAGGAAGATTGTGAACATAACCTCTTTTCCTCGCAGCAGCACAGAAATACTTGGAGTCAACAAACTCCGGTTGTACATCATATAGGAAGCGGGATATAGTACTCCAAACCCCTTTAGGAGTAAGTGCCACATTCTCATAATAGAAATACGGTGGGCCTAAAGCCGCCTCTGGAAGGTTCCTGTGTGTTTTCAAGCATGGTTCAGATGGGATGCCAAACCCAACCATTGGATTTGGGAGATGAACTGTCTCATCATCTTCGTCTATGGTCTTGTTCCCAAGTCTCATAAGCTTTTTCTTTTTCAGCAGCTCATACTGAAGAAGTTTCCTCTTCTTGTATGCGTGATTTAATCTTGGCTGCAAAAGTACAGCCAACAATCACAATCTACTGAACATGGCATGAATACGTACTGATTTTGTAGAAAACTCAAGAGACTATAATATTCTATACTACTATACCTTCTCTTCAAGAGGAAGATGGGCATCTTCGGCCCTTGCCATTTGAGCAGCACATATGAAATCAGTCAACTCAACAACTGTGGAGTCAAGACCTGCAGTGTTTGAAAGGGGAAAAAGAGGGCTGAGGAAGGAGAAACAGGTGATCACAAACTATTAGAATTGAAAAAGAGACTGAGAGAGGATGGCATAAGCAGCTGACTCAACTCGCACAAAGTGCTTTACGACTCAGAGCCCAATCCACTTGGGCAAACCAGGTTGAATTTGCAATTAAACAACAGGGCATATAAGGAGTTTTTTGGCACCCACATCACTGGCCTCTTTATGGTATGAAAAACATTCTAGTCACATTACCCAAGAAAGTAAGCAGTATGTTTTTCAAAACATCGAAGATGAGATGTTAGATCCTAAATCAATGTGCTTTATCCATATTTCTGGAGTTCGGTTTGGTGCTAAAGTAAATCCTAAAATAAATAAATAGCAATTTACAGGATATCAACAGAATCAAATCAAGCAACTAACGTTCATTTTTAAATAAAAAAAATCAAGTAACCAACTGGAGATATGTACAGGAAATGATAAAAGCAATATAAAATCAAACTAATGCATAAAGATAAAACTTATACCACATCTTTCTATTGCTATTGAAGCCTCCTCTGCTGTGTACCCCATATTGACCAAGGATAATAACTTTTTGTTTTTCTCGGATGTAGGATTTAGGATGTCCTGCATAATAGTTAAATTAAATTACTATTGAATAGGCACATGTAAATTGCAAAATGATATCATATATTTGTTGCTTGGAGGATTGGGGAAAAACCGAAATACAAAGCTTAGCAAAAAAGGAAAATGTCAGCTCACACTCTTCTAAAATACATAAAAATCCATAACATACAACCTATTGCTGAGGCGAACAACTACCTCATTATCAGAATAACTATCGATATCTGAAAAATCATCCAGAAAGCTCGCTTCACTATCCGAAGAAAACTGATCATCACAATCAACTTGTTGCGGTTCTTGGGGAGAACTTTCAAGAGCCTGCAAAAAATACAGCAAGAAAACAAACGAAATTCTTCGTCTTCTTTCTTCCTTATAAGTTCTGAAGAATTTATGTTCTTAAAGTATGTGAACGTGAGAACCAGGATACATATGACCCATTCACCTTGCAATAAAAAGAATTAAAACAAGTGCTTTACGTTACCTTGACTAATTACTTAATGATCTAGCAGGGTAGATATGATATTGAGTAAGAAAACCACATGAGCAGACTAGAAATTTCACAAGAAATGAGAACCCCAAAAAGAAAAAAGAGCCACTAACAAAGGAAATTTCTTAGGTTTCTTGTAAGAAAACACAGACTTCATTGGATGGACGAGAAGTCATCATATCTAACTTAACAACCTCAATCTAAAACATCTTACATTGAATAGAACACACCCCCACACCACACACACCCAGCCCCCCAACCACCCCCCACCCCCCAAAACCCCCTTTATGCAAATCCCTATGTTCATGGATTTATTAAGTGAAGTTTTGTTCCACATAAACTAAAAATTTGTTACAACAAATACAATTAGAGGGAACCAAGCTCAAAACCCAAATTATCTATATCACCAAGAATAAGTGTCCAAAGCAGCATTGGCAAATGAAGATATGTTGACTCACTGAATATGTGAGGAGGGTTTCAAGAATTGAATCTGTATTCTCCTCTCCTGGATATTCCATAAAAGCGATGTTATATGGGGTTATAATTGAAACAGTCAAGGTGAAAACGGGTGTTGAAATGAAATGATACAGTGCTCTTACCATGTTCCTGAATTGCTTTGGCAACCATTTTTCCAGAAAATCCCATCCCAACAAAATGATCAACAACTTTGGAATTTGAAGGACCTTGAGATGAGCTCGCCTATAGGAAGAAATATGTAATATAGATTAAATACTCCATCTAAATATTCATCAGGTATATATTATATTTCAGAACAACTGATGCAAAAACGTTTACCTCCCCAGAGCCCGCAATAGCTTCTCTACCAGGAACTGTCAGACTTGAAGAAGAAGATAAAGTGAAGCTCTCAATTTCCAGCTCATCTTCTGTACTCCAGTCAATATCATTCCCATCTTCGCCAGAAGTATTTCCATCCTGCACAAAGTTTATACAAACACACGCAAACAACAAAAAGAAGTAAATAGCCCAGACTGTAACAAATTGTATAAAAGCCAAATAAACAGCTGTATAAATTCCAGATTCAGCAAGAAAGGACAATCTTTAAATTCGGAACAAGACAGACCCCGCAACAACAGGTGTTAACAAATTGTGTGCAATAACCAAAAAGGTCTGCACACACCACAACACTTTACTATTTCAAAATGAAGAGCGACTAAAAATTAATGATGGATTAATGAAATGAATGAAAACAAAACTTAGTTAGAAAACTAGTACCATTTCTCTATAAGCTATGTTTGGCCCACGCAGAGGTTTCCAAGCTGTCCAAGTAATACACAGAAGGAATAAGTGCCAAACAAATTCAAAGATTAACTATATAAGCAACAAATAATTTAATTCCTAACTTGGATAACAGACTTTGTAACAGAGAACTGGGATTAGATATTCATTGCCATTATGTAACACATCTGTAATAAAAGATATCACTGCAAGATTTAAGATCAAGTAATGGAAGTTGTTGAGCCATCAAAAGAACGACTCAACCAAGCCATTTTGTCTGTGATACAGACTTTTCAAATAGGCAGATTGATGATCGAGCTTACATGGGCGGTTAAACAAATAATCATCGTGACCCAAATGAACCCAGCTGCCGAGCTATCCTGAGGACTGTTGCTAAAGAGATTCCCATTAATTAGCACAATGTTAATGAAGGAAACAAGAAAATAATAATATCACATCATCATTAAAGTTACAATTATAATTTCTCATAGCAATACCTAAATTGGAAAAACGGCAAGTAAAGAGAAAGTAGCCCAAAATTTGTATGTTATGCCTGAATTCACATTCACTGCTGACACCCTCCTATCTCCTAAGATTCTAAATGATACATTCCATAAAATCCTAAGTTATCATTTATTTTTCAAGCGTGTTTAAACATGACGAGTTGGGTTACTATCAAATCATCTAAAACAACTAGCTAAACATGCGTTAGGAATGGGGTTGGCTAGTACTCAACACGAACAACATGAACATGACACAGCACAGCAAGCCGACACAACTTGAGTATCCCCATTATCACCAAAGAACGCGGCATAAATTGCCAAGAGTACAATATCCATAGGGCCACAAGTTAAAAAAATTCCTTTTGCATGCAAACCAAATATCTGCTTTTTTTGATATTCTTTAAAACAACAAATGGCCAAACCTTGTAGATTTCAATATGGACCAAACCTCTCTTATTTCCTATTCCTCCTAATTTCAGGATTTGTAGGCCACCACCGTCTCAGCCATATAATAACATCCACAAAACCCCAACCCACCCTCTTTCTTCAACATCAAGCAGACTACAAAAGAATCTCTACTAAAACGTAAACCCCCAATTTGTTTACTGAATGGAGGAAAATGAGGAACAAAATCTTGAACAAGTTCTCTTCACATCAAATAATCAAAGAACCAAAAAAAAAATCTAAAACCGTTTTTCTACCCCTTTCTTAAGCAGCAACCAAACAGTGCAATGCATTACATCAGTTGCATAAAGAAACTCGTAATCACTCACACAAACATAACAAAAAACCCTAATCAACAACAAGCACAACGAGAAAGTAATTAGCTACAACTTACAACCGCAATTAAACAAATAAAAAGTAGCATTGCTCAAAGAAAATTTACCCGTGCGAGATGAAAATGCAGAGGACCTCTCTGATCGTGAAGCTCTCTGCTTGTTAATATCGGAAATGCACTTCACCTCCTCGAAAATTCACCTTGCCGTGGCTTTGTCCTGTGAAACCGAAGAGAGCTCCGAGCATCCGCCCTTTGAATGGAGAAAATGGCGAAGAAATCTGCAGGGAAGCAAAGCAAGAAGAGCTACATGCATAGAAAAAATCTAGAGAGAGAAAGTCACTGGTGTAGATAGAGACACTTGTTGCAGTGAAGAGTTGCCAGAACCACAGGGCTCTGAAGAACTCGAGGGAGGAACAAAACATGCTCCGCCTGGTGCGCTTACAAACGCACAACGACGCTAATTTCATACTCTCGTGAGAGTAGGAAAGTAAAAGATTCTTATTTTTCCTCTTAGTGGATGGTGACATCAGCAAGGTTATCTCAACTTGATTCTCAACTACCTCACATCATCCAACCAAAAAATACCCTTAATTTGGCATACTTTTGGCCATCCCAATGGAGGCTCCATTTGAGGCTCAACTACCATAAGGCTCCCATAAATACAAATTCTCCTTATAAAAAGCATCTCTAATGGTGCGGCTCTAAAACTTGAAGCCCAACCAGAGCACTACCTAAATCTATATGCTTGATTGAAGCCCTTGAAATCAAGCGGGTCCAGAAAGGAGAAAAGTTGCATCCCACATTTCTTGGTATCTCACTTGCCTTGCGATTGTACAAAGCCATACTTGCCTTTTTTTTCTTTTGTCAACATGTTTGCCACCATGCTGACCCACTTTTTTCTTTCAAAAGCTGTGTTGATTTCCAAAGTTGAAACAAAGTTGAAATAAAAGGTTGATTTCCAAATCTTGTCCAAATTTTAATTTTTTTTAGTTGAAATGTTCAAAAAAAAAAAAAAAAAACTAACGTAACATGAACAAACATTAAAGTAAAATAGTTAACCAAAAAATAAAAACCATGTAAATCAAATTACATTATAAAAAAAAATATAGAGCCCGCCATGAATATAAGGCCTCCTATTGTTAGAAATATGCCTTTAGAGCCCCAAATATTCCATCGGAGCTCTAAATGGGGATCTATCAACCCCTTTTACAGCCCCAACCATTGGGGGTGGCCTTTGAATGCGTGAATTAATTAATAAAATGTTTCCAAACCTAGAAAGAAAATTAGATTTCTAGTCATAAAAGAAATTTTATTAAGAAGATCCTGCTTATTAGAAGGGTCCTTCCATTTAATAATACTAGTCTCTCCGCACGTGCTTCCACACCTGCGAGCGGAGTAATTTTTGAGTGTTCCTGGTACACCACGTGGTTGGTGTACCATCCAATAGACGGAAGACATATGGAATATGTCCAATGCAGTCCGCCACATGTGATAAGAAGAAATGCAGTAGGTTGGATAATTCCACATGTTCTATGTTTATTGGATGGTACACCAGACACGTGGTGTACCTGGAACATTTAAAAATTTCTCCTGCGAAAGGGTCTTTTTTTTATTATTTAAATTTATTTTAGAATTAAAAAAAATAATGTTGTGTTCCATAAAACTAGGATCCATTATCTGATTTTTCTTTTAATTTTAAATATGAAGAAGTATGAATTTATCATATTTCCTCATTTAATTAATAATTTCAATTCTTAATGTTTGCATTAACCAAGGGCATTTTATGGTGTTTTGAATGTTTTACCATTCTCTACTTTTTGCTTTATATATATACTAGCCTCTCCGCACACGCTTCTGCGCATGCGAGAGGCTTTTTTTTAAAATTTAAAATTTATTTTAGAATTAAAAAAGATAATGGATAGTTGTGTTCCATAAAAATAGGATCCATTATCTGATTTTTCTTTTAATTTTTATTTTTTTAAATATGAAAAAGTGTGAATTTACCATATTATCCTCATTTAATTAATAATTTCAATTCTTAATGTTTGCATTAACCAAGGGCATTTTATGGTATTTTGAATGTTTCACCATTCTCTGCCTTTTGCTTTATATATACTAGCCTCTCTGCACGCGCTTCCGCGCCTGCAAGAGGCTTTTTTTAAAAAAATTAAAATTTATTTTAGAATTAAAAAAGATAATGGATAGTTGTGTTCCATAAAAATAGGATCCATTATCTGATTTTTCTTTTAATTTTAAATATGAAGAAGTATGAATTTATCATATTTCCTCATTTAATTAATAATTTCAATTCTTAATGTTTGCATTAACCAAGGGCATTTTATGGT